GGTTCATAATCTTCATCAAAACAATGTGTGAACCTAATGAACAATTGAAACATGTGTATGAACCAAATGGACATATTGTGTGAACCAATTGAACACATATGTGCACGAGTGAACACATATGTTGATGTTTGAGTGAACATGTGGGTGAACGGTTTGATCATTTTCTTCACTTTCAGAATTCGAATTCCGAATGTATTCGTAGACGCTTTTAGCTTTTTCAATCTCATTATCGTCTATCTGTTTTACTCTATGATTATCCATATTACTCGGACTATAACGGAATCTTTACAAAGGGACTTTTTGGAAATTTACAATATCAAAACTATTGTTTGAAGAATGAAATGTAAAAATCAATAAGATGAACAAATGTGAAACTTCATATCATTATTACATGTAGATCAATTAGTGATATTTTAAGATTTGTAACTCCCAATTAAAATATTGGGGAGTTACATAWAAATGACAAATTACCTAAATACCCTTACACTTGATATGTGAGTTACATTTGAACCTAACTAAAAGATGGAACATGATTGGTTGATGTTGGTTAGCATAGTTAACACAAAAAAATGAGTTAGTATTTGAACCAACCTCTCTCTCTCTCTCTCTCTCTATATATATATATATATATATATATATTCTTTTTCTTTTTTCTCTTTTTTTATTTTTCTCTTTTTTTTTCCTTTTTCTCAAACCTCTACCGATCATTATATAGGTGTTGAGGATCGTGTAGAAGTATAAAGATCATACAACAAACACTCCTAACTAAGAGTATGTAGTCTCATTCCAAAGTCCGGTGAGGGAAGTGTTTGGCTTAAGGGTTAACTTGTGGTGTTAAAGTCAAGAAAAAATAGGTGGTTAGGCTCAAAAGGGTAATAAAAAAGAAAACAAATGCATAAAGGTTGACGTTTAGGTTAAATGGTTAAAAGAGACCTAACGCAAGTTCTAGAATGAGATGAACATGGAAGATGCAATACACACAAAAAAGAAATGGGATCGAAAATAGTGTTCGACCATGGCTCAAAAGCTCACAGGTTCATTTTGTCTATAAAATTAGCAAGCCTCACAAAAGTTATCTCAAATGTGCTAATCACGACTAACAAGTAAGTCATACAATCATTCGTGCTATGATGTTTATGGCATTGAAAATCAATAAAATCGTCGCTCATGCAATTCACTTAACAAATGCCCAAAATCAAGCCAAAAGTTCAAAAAAATTAGCCCTTTCTAACACACTCTTGCACATTAAAAAGCAATAATTCCCCATTAAAAAGCAATAATTCCCCATTAAAAAGCAATAATTCCCTCTCCCCACTTGAACCATATATTGTCCTCAATGTATGCATTCATTGGCCTAGTCTAAAACATTAAAAAGCAAAGGGAACGAGAAAACTCCCCTGGATATGTAGACTTGTGCCCAATACACGGTCCAAGCGGGTGGTAAAAGCCTCATTGCACTCGGGGGGGGGGGGGGTGTTGAACGTCAATACTCACAAGAATGCCAACCTGGGAAAGCACCTCATCAATCTCTGAAGATAACTAAAACTAAAATAAACTAAACTAGAACGGAAATAAAGCAATAAAAATTGGGTTGCCTCCCAATCAGCGCCTTTCTTTAACGTCTTTGGCTAGACACTACCTAACTAACTAACAACGGGCGGTGGCTCAAGATCCATAACATCAATGTCCGTAGACTGAAAACCTTCATTAAAAGGTTTCAGTCTATGTCCGTTCACCTTAAACGACTTACCCGTTTTTGGGTTCTCAATATTTACTTCTCCATGAGCATAAACCTTAACAACTATGAAAGGACCAACCCACCGTGATCTAAGCTTACCGGGAAACAACTTTAGGCGTGAATGAAAGAGTAAAACCTTTTATCCGACCACAACTCTTTCTGGGAGATGATCTTGTCATGGAAAGCCTTGGTCCGCTCCTTGTAGATCTTGGCGCTCTCGTATGCGTCGTTTCAGATTTCCTCTAACTCTTGAAGTTGTAGCTTCCTTAGAACTCCTGCGTCGTCCATTCACATGTTACACTTCTTGACAGCCCAAAAGGCCATGTGCTCTAGTTCAACAGGTAGATGACATGGTTTACCATAAACTAATCAAAAAGGGGACATACCTATAGGTGTTTTGTAGGCCGTACGGTAGGCCTACAAAGCATCATCCAAATGCTCGATCCAATCCTTGCGATTAGAATTTACAGTCTTCTCTAGAATGGATTTAATCTCCTTGTTAGAGACTTTGGCTTGCCCGTTGGATTGAGGATGGTATGCGGTTGAAATCTGGTGAGTGACATGATACTTCTTAAACACCGCCTCGATCACTTTATTGCAAAAGTGTGTCCCTCGATCGCTTATGACGGCCCTTGGTGTGCCGAACCTGGCGAAGATGTTAGATCTATGGAAAACTGAAACAGTACAAGCATCGTCAGTTCTGGTGGCTTTAGCTTCCACCCATTTCGAGACATAATCGACACACAATAAAATACATGTAAATCCAGAAGAGGCGGGAAAGGATCCCATGAAATCAATGCCCCATACATCAAAGATTTTGCAAACTAAAATCAGGTTTTGGGGCATTTGATTTCGTGGTCCGATATTCCCCGTCTTTTGGCACCTATCACAACTCTTGCAAAACATATAAGAGTCCTTAAAAATGGATGGTCAAAACAAGCCACAGTTAAGCATTTTGTGTGCCTTAAGCTTTGGACCAAAATGTCCCCCACGAGCATATTCGTGACAAAATCGAAGTACACTTTGTACTTCGTGTTGGGGGACACATCGCATGATAATTTGATCAGAGCAATGCTTCCAAAGGTAGGGGTCATCCCAAACATAATACTTCGCTTGAATCTTAATCCTATCCTTTTCAGTTCTAGTCAACATACCTGGCAAAGTGTTGGTAACTAGATAGTTCACTAAGTCGGCGTACCAGGGTGTCGTCTCTTGAATGGTCAGAAGATGCTTGTTCGGAAATTCATCCTTCAAGGTAGAAGGATCCTCACCATTTAGGAAACGACTCAAATGATCGGCCACTAAGTTCTCTGACCCGCTCTTATCCTGAATCTCTAGGTTGAACTCTTGTAGAAGCAACATTCAACGAATAAGGCGAGGCTTGGCGTCCTTCTTCATTAAATATTTAAGAGCTGCATGATCAGAAAAAACTATCACTTTAGTACTAAGTAAATACTGACAAAACTTCTCTAAAGCAAATACTATGGCCAAAAGCTTCTTCTCTGTCATTGAATAGTTGCTTTGGGCATTATCCAGCGTCCGAGAAGCATAGTATATCATGTGTGGGTCCTTACCAAACTTTTGTCCCAAAACAGCCCGGACCGCGTAGTTACTCGCGTCACACATTATCTCAAAAGGGAGATCCCAATTTGGGGGCTGAATTATGGGTTCAGAAGTTAACTTATCTTTTAATTCATTAAATGCCTTCTTGCATTCACCATCGAAGTGGAAGTCCACATCCTTTTGTAAGAGACAACAAAATAGTCGGGTTATCTTCGAAAAATCCTTAATGAATCTCCTATAGAACCCTACATGACCAAGGAAAGAACAAACTTCCCTAACAGAAGTGGGGTAAGGTAGCGTTTTAATGACATATATTTTAAAATATGACCAAGGAAAGACTTGTCTACCTCTATACCCTTCTTTGAAACAATATGACCCAAGATAAGACCATGACTAACCATAAAGTGACATTTTCGTGATTCAAAACAAGGTTAGTCTATATGCATCTTTTTAAAATCTTGGTCAAATTGTTCAAACAGTCCTCAAACGAGTTACCATAAACGGTAAAATCATCCATAAACACCTCAATGATACTCTTTACGTACTTGAGAAAGATACTTATCATACAACGTTGAAAAGTAGCTGGTGCGTTACAAAGGCCAAAAGGCATACGCCTATAGGCAAACGTACCAAACGGGCATGTAAAAGTAGTATTTTCCTGGTCCTCCAACGCTACCGGGATTTGATGGAACCCGAAGTATCCATCTAGACAACAGTAGTGAGACTTTCCCGCTAATCGTTCCAACATTTGGTTGATAAAGGGAAGTGGAAAGTGATCCTTTCTAGTGGACGAGTTCAACCTCCTATAGTCGATGCATACTCGCTATCCATTTTGGACTCGAGTAGGCAGCGACTCACCTTCGGTGTTCCTAACTACCGTCAAACCCGTCTTTTTGGGTACTACCTGAACAGGGCTTACCAATTTGCTATCTGAAATTGAATAGATAATACCTACATCAAGGAGTTTGAGGATTTCCTTTTTCACTACCTCCATCATAGGCGGGTTGAGGCGTCGTTGAGCTTCACGGAAAGGCTTGTAGTCATCCTCGAGTAGAATCTTATGCATACAAACTAAGGGGATCAATCCCTTGATATCAGCTATAATCCAGCCGATCGCCTCCTTATGCTCTTCAAGCACATTCACCAACCGTTTTTCTTCTTTGCTTGACAGCTCAGTAGAGATGATCACCGGTAGAGTATTGTCCTTGCCTAGGTAGGCATACTTGAGGTGGTCCCGTAACTCCTTCAAGTCAAGTACCGGGGCCTACAAAATAGAAGGAAATAGCTTAGTGTAAGAAGAAGGTAAATCAACATTTGATACCTGAAACTTCTTGTGTCGGTTAGATTCCATGGCTAAGACCATCTCTTTAAGCTCGGGCCCTAAATCATATTCCTTCATCAACAAATTAATTGTCCTTGCATCTAGGTGCCTTGTAATCGCAACCTCCAACAAATCTCAGTTAGTCAATTCATACAAATCATGAGTAATAGGATCTAAAACATCAACAAAACTGACAGAAGACACATCACTGGGATATCTATTGGCATCATAGATATTAAATTTAATGACCTCACCATCAAATTCCATAATTAACGTACCATCATGAACATCAATTTTTGTTTTTGATGTTTTCAGAAATGGTCTTCCCAACAATATCAAAGGTGATTTGGAAGTATTATGCTCCTCCATATCTGTGACATAGAAATCTGTCGGGAAGACTAACTCGTTAACTTGAACCAACACATCCTCAAGGACTCCCTTGGGATACACATTGGACCTATCAGCGAGTTGTATAACTCCCGTCCTCTTAAGAGGCCCCACATTCAGTGATGAATAAATCGAGTAAGGCATGACATTTATAGATGTGCCTAAGTTTAACATGGCTTTACCTATTGAAACATTACCTAACTTACAAGGAATAGTAAACATACCTGGGTCCTTGCACTTAGGTGGCATCTTCTCTCCTTGAAGCATGGCAGATACGTTCTCGCCCATGCTAACCTTCTCGTTCCCGGTAAACTTCTTCTTGTTCGTACACAACTCCTTCCAAAACTTAGCATATCGAGGTACTCTTTTAATAACATCTAAGAGTGGAATGTTTACCTCAACTCGGCAAAAAATCTCCTTCTCTTCTTGCTCCTTCTTGCTTTGCTCGAATCTCTTTGGGAATGGTAGTCGGATGACCAATTCGAGCGCTTTTCCTTTGTCCTCTATGTTTTTACCTTCAACCTTATCTTCATTTGACTTATTGCTCGTAATCTCGGCCTCTTTCTCTTCTTTCCTCTCGCTCATTCTTGCTTTGGGTTTGGGATCCGGAACCGTCCTGTTTCTCAAAGTAATGGCACTAACATTAGCTTTCAGGTTAATTTTAGTTTGGGACGGTAACTTACCTTGGCTCTCAATGCGATTAAGCGAAATCGCCATTTGCCCGATTTGAGCTTCCAGATTCTTCTGTTGGGCCGCTAAACATTGATTATGGGTTACCAAATTTTGGATATTTGTTCTAGTCTCTTGCTGAAATTGTTGAGTGTTAGTAGCAAGAGATTTAACAATATCTTCTAAAGACATACCTGCACTACTCAAGGCTTGGTTGTTTGGCTGAAACGGCACTCTCTGTTGGAATGGCTGCTAGAATGGCCTTTGCTGGAATTGTTGTGGAGGTCTTTGGGCACCAAAGCTCTGGTTATAAAACCTTTGTTGCGGTTGTTGGCCTGGAAAGCCTCCGATGGCGTTGACATCTTCGGGAGCAACCAAAACATCTTCTTGGAGTTGCGGACACGCGTCCGTCGGATGGCTCGTCCCATTGCATTTAACACATGCCTTAACCTGCTTTTTACCCACAACTAATTGTTCAATGAGGTTAGTCAAATCAAATAACCTACTCTCAATGATACCGGTATTAACCTCGTTAATCTTTTGGGGCCCTATCCTTAAATCACCTCGCACACTAAAATGTTGAGAGTTCTCAGCCATAGTGGTGATCAGACCCCTCACTTGATTTAGGGTTTTATTAAAAATTGCCCCTCCACCAGCGGCATCGATCATCTTCCTTTTCATAGGAAAAAAGCCCTCATAAAAATTATTGTAACAGAAGTTCCTCGAAAATTCCGTGTTGCGGGCAACTAACGCAGAGATGTTTGAACCTCTCCCAATATTCATGGAGGGTTTCCACATCTCTTTGTTTGATACTGCAAATTTTCTTACGGAGTGTAGCGGCTCGGGAGGCGGGAAATAATTTATCTAAAGATAACCGCGCCATTTGGTTCCAAGTCGTTACCGAACCGGGCGGTAACGAGTAGAGCCAATCTTTAGCCCGATCTTTTAAAGAAAAAGGGAATGTCTTTAACTTTATAAGATCCTCCGTAACCTTGTTGGGTTTCATGCTTAAACACACCACATGGAATTCCTTGAGGTGTTTGTTCGGGTCCTCGTTCTCCAAACTGTGGTAGGAGGGTAATAGGTGGACCAAACCAGTTTTTAGAACAAAATTTGCGTTACCTTGCCGGTACCTGATACAGATAGGAACCTGAGCAACGTCATGTGTTGCCAACTCTCGTAGAGTTTGCTCGTCTTGTTCGGCAGCCATCGCGTCTGCCTTCTTTTCGTCTGAATCGCTCGATAGGTTAAAATCTTGCCAGATATTTAACCCTAGTGACGAAGGTCCCTTGCCAAACTTCTTCCGAAACTTGGCTTGTTTCCTCAGTCATTTCGCGGTTCGTTCGATTTCTAGATTTATTGGCAAAGGTGAACCTGTACGTGAAGATCTAGGTATAAACCGTTAGTACTACCGAGTCCCCGGCAGCGGCGCCAAAAATTTGACGGATGCCGAGTCCACCAAATAATAAATTCCAACTAACGACTAGTTACAACCAAAATTGTAGTAGTGTAAGTCGGGTCGAATCCACAGAGAC